TTTGGGAGCTTGCTGAAGCCAACATGGACTGCCTCTTTATGTGACTTGATATTGACTGTCATCTCCGAGCCATCAATAATTTATTATAATTTTATTTTGTATTTGCTTAGTAAGACCTAGCTTATTTTGTTTTGTTCTGATATGCCCAAATAGGTTGCCTGTGTGCACTAGTTTGATTTTTGACACCTCTGGATCTCTAATGTCCTGTCACCAGGTAGTTAGTTCTGTAACTAAGCATGTGCACACAGGAGTCCGTTAAATTTTCCTATATGGGTTCAGCCCGGGTATTCAGGCCGTTGGTCAGCAAGCGTGTGATGCAGGCTCTCACCTGCAGTCCTAAGGAGGCATGGGTGACTGGTGCAGGCACTAGACTCTGGCTGTGATAGGGGATCACATGCTGAGCTAGGAAGGGGGCTGATGGCTGCCCCTGAGAGTCTTAAAGGAAAGCGTGTCCCTATTTTATAGGGTGAGTAGGTAGTTGAGTTTTGCAGCTGGCCTATGAGCTCCCCACTCTGTTGGCTGTAAAGACTCAAGGACACCACTTTTTCTTAGACTCCTGTAGCAGGTGACTAGGCGCTGTAGGTGTTACCACCAGTCCTCAAGCCCCTGCTGCAGATCGATAAAAGTGCCTACCTTAAGGGGCAGGACTGTTTCGAGGGTTACAAATCTGCCATTTCAGAGCTGAAGCAGTTGAAGTTAAACTTCAGATGTCTGCCCTGTTGTACTGTGGCAGTGAGGACTAACGCTGTTGAGATTGTTCCCACAAGTCTATACAGCTTTGTAAGGCACTCAGAGTCTGCGGACCCCTGATATCTGTGCCCAGAAAGGAGCTGTGCTGTCTCTGTGTTCCTGGCCTAGGGGAGCTGGCAGCTTATTTCTTCCCTCTCCAAGGCCAGGAGAATGAGGAGCTGTGCCATCTCTGTGCTCCTGGCCTAGGGGAGCTGGCAGCTTATTTGTTCCCTCTCCAAGGCCAGGAGAATGGGTCAGGGTGCCTTTTGGGATCTACTTCTGGCCCAGCGGACTCCCGATGCAGAGCACGGAGGGAGGACATAAAAGGGAAAGAGGTTTTTCCCAAATGGGCGTTTTTTTTTTTTTAATCCCCGCAAAAGGGTGCATGCATATACTTATCTTAGCCTTTTGGGAGCTGCTCTGCAGTGGTTCAGAGCGTCCAAGTAGAATCTCTGCTGCCAGGTCTCTCTCGATGTGGAAACTGCTTCCTAAGCGCGCGCACCACACAGCTGTTTGCCCGCTTCATCGCAGATGGTGTGGCTGCAGAGCTGCAGTTTCACCGCCACGGCTCTAGCCCTCCTCACCTCTTCCAAATTGTCTCCCTCTCACGTGTCACTCAGATGGATTTCTTAACCTTGCCTTGTTCATGGCTCGCAGATATTCAATCAAATCACTTGTTTTTCCAGGTCTTTGTTGTAAGAGGGATATAGGAGGCGTCTAACTACTCTGCCATGTTGATCACATTCCCAGTACTGGGCTTTTCCATCGTCTCTTTCCACAGTTGTAGTCGATTTGATTCCACTGTAAAACACTAGGCCTGAAAGTATTGCTCCTGCTTTGTCTTCTAAGAATTTTATGGTTTTAGTTTGCACATTTAGGTCCTGTATCCATTTTGAATTTGTTTTTGTGTATGGTGTGAGGCATGGATCCTGTCTCATTTTTCTGCATGTGGAAATCCAATTTTCCCAGAACTATTTATTGAAGAGACTTTTCTTTGCCCATCAAATGAAATTAGCTCCCTTGTCAAAAAATCAGTTGACCACAGATGTGTGGATTTATTCCTGGACTCTCAATTCTATTCCATTGGTCTATATATCCACTCTTATGCCAGTACCAGGCTGTTCTGATTACTGTGGCTGTCTAGTATATTTTAAAAACAGAAGTGTGAGAGTCCTTCTACTTTGTTCTTCTCTTTCAACACTGTTTTAGCTATTCGGGGCCTCTTGCCATTCCATATAAAGTTGAGAATTGGTTTTTCTATTTCCATAAGAAGGCTGTTAGAATTTTGATCTGGATTGCATTGAATCTACTGTATAGATCGCTCTGGGTAATAATGGCATCTTAACAATATTAAGTCTTCCAATCCATGAACATGGAACATCTTTCCATTTATTTAAGTCTTCTTTAATCTTTCAGCAGTATTTTACAGTTTTCATTGTTAAGTCTTTCATGGTCTTAGTTAGATTTATTCCTAGGTATCTTACTCTCTTAGATGCTATTGTAAATGGAATTATTTCCCTAATTTCCCTTTCAGATTTCTCATTGCTGGTATATAGAAACCCAACTGATGTTTGTTGACCTTGAACCCTGCAACTTTGCTAAATTCCTCTATTAGCTCTGGAAGTTTTCTTGTGGATTCTTTGGGATTTTCTATATATACGATCATATCATTCATGAATAGAGATAATTTTACTTTTTTTCTAATATGCATACCTTTTATTTCTTTTTCTTGTCTTATTGCTTTGGCTAGGACTTCTAATACAATACTGAATAGAAGTGGTGACAGCGGGAACCCTTGTCTTGTTCCTGATTTCAAGAAGAAAGTTCTCAGACTTTCTCCATTAAGCATGATGTTGGCTGTTGGCTTCTCATATATGCCCTGAATCATACTGAGGAATTCTTCTTCTATTCCAGTCTTCTTTAGGGTTTCCATCAAGAAATGGTGTTGGATGTTCATCAAATGCTTTTTCTCTATCCACAGAGATGATCATGTGGTTCACTTCCTTTGTTCTATTGATGTGGTGCATTATGATTGATTTTCTAATACTGAACCATCCCCGAACTCCTGGAATAAATCCCACTTGGTCATGGTGTATGACTCTTTTAATACACTGTTGGGATTCTGTTCCCTACTATTTTGTTGCAGATTTTTGCCTCTATTCATAAGAGATACTGGTCTATAATTCTCTTTTCTTGCAGTGTCTTTGTCTGGTTTTGGTATCAGGGTTATGTTTGCTTCATAGAACAAATTAGGGAGTATTCCTCCCTTCTCTATCTTTTGGAAGAGTTTAAACAGTATTGGTGTCAATTCTCCTTCAAATGTTTGGTAGAATTCCCCAGTGAAGCTATCCGGTACAGGACATTTTTTTATTGGGAGATTTTTGATCACTGACTCGGTCGCTTCACTTGATATGGGTCTATTGAGGCTTTCTCTTTCCTCTTGACTCAGTGTGGCTAGGTTGTAATGTCCTCTTTCATTTTTTATTTTGTTTATTTGCATCTTTTCTTTGTCAGTCTAGCTAAAAGTTTGTCAATTTTATTGATCTTTTCAAAGAACCAACTTCTTGTTTTATTGATTCTATTTTTTTCAATTTTATTTATTTCTGCTCTGATCTTTGTTATTTCCTTTCTTCTGGTAGATTTAGGCTTAGTTTGCTCTTCTCTTTCTAGCTCCTGGAGTTGTCAAGATAGGCTGTTAATTTGAGATCTTTCTTCTTTTTTCATGGAGGCATTTATTGCTATAAGTTTCCCTATGAGTACTGCCTTCATGCATCCCATAAGTTTTGGTATGTTGTGTTTTCATTTTCATTTGACTCTAGGAAATTTGTGACTTTTCTTCTGAGTTCTTCCTTAACCCACTGGTAGTTTAAGAGTGTTGTTTAATTTCCATATGTTCGTGTATTTTCTCTCTTATTGATTTTTAGCTTCACTCCGTTGTGGTCATAGAAAATACTTTGTATGATTTCAATCATTTTAAAATTTATCAAGATTTGCTTTGTGACCTAACACACTGTCTATCTGGAGAATGATCCATGTGCACTGGAGTAGAATGTATATTGTGCTGTTTTGGGGTGGAGTGTTCTATATATGTCTGTTAAGTCTAGTTGGTTTATAGTGTCATTCAAGTCCTCTGTTTCCTTGTTGATCTTCTTTCTAGATGTTCTGTCCTATATTTAAGGCAGTGTATTGAAATCTCCAACTATTATTATAGTACCATTTATTTATCCCTTCAATTCTATCAGTGTTAGCTTTATATACTTATGTGCCCCGATGCTGGGTGTATATATATATTCATGATTGTTAAATCATCTTGATTAATTAACCCTTTTATCATTATATAACATCTATCTTTATCTCTTCAAACAGATTTTGTCTTAAAGTCTACTTTGTCTGATATTAAGATTGTCACCCCAGTTCTCTCTGGTTATTATTTGCATAGAATATTTTTTTTTCCATCTTTTCACTTTCAACCTATTTGTGTCCTTGGTTTAAGGTGTGTCTCTTGTAAACAGCATATAGTTGGATCATTTTTTTTTTTAATCCATTCTGCCATTCTCTGCCTTTTGACTGGAGCATTTAGTCCATTTAAATTCACTGTAATTACTGATAAGAAGTGACTTACTTCTGCCATTTTGTTGTTTTTTGGGTATCTTAAGCCTTCTTTGTCATTGTACTTTACTACTGCTTACTTTTGTGTTTTGCTGGTTTATTGTAGTGAGCTTTTTTGGTTCCTTTCTCCTTTTCTTTTGTGTATGTTTTATATACATTTTCTTAGTGGTTACAAGGAATATTACATTTAACAGCTTATATATTTGTATCATTCTAGGGTAAGTTGGTATCAACTTAGCTTCAGTAATATACAAGAAATTCTATATCTATACCATTTTTCCTCCCTCCATTTTGTTGTTCTCACTAATTATGTCTTTCTATTTCATGTGACCTGTAACATAATTTTATCCTTGCTTTTTATATATTTGTTATTAAAACAAACTTTTTGTTATATAAATTTTTTACCACAATAAAATAAAAATAATAGTAATTTTAAAAAGTATTCAGTAGGCCAGATCCGAATCACAGGGTAAGGCTATTACCATCCCCGTTAAATGCAAAATACTCTACACACTAGTGATTCTGTATACTTCCAAAGGCTGAAACATGCATTATATAGTTTTCTTATTTTGCTTTATAAACATAAAAATCTTATATTTAACAGTTAAGGGAACTGTAACAAACAGAATATTCTTTAAAATACATAAATCATATATACTTACTGGTGACTCCTCTAAATTTTCATGTAAGTAACGCTGAGTCCGCTTCACAACAGACACATCAGCTCCCAAGAAAGGAATGGCATAGTTGCTGAGTTCTCTACAGTAAGAAATTGGCCACCTGGAAGACAGACCCATGAGTATTATGCATTTTCTCTAGTTACGGTGATCACAATTTTAGCTGGTAAATTTTTTAATAAACTTTTTTAGTAACTTTTCTCGAGGCAATAATAACAATGATGATGGTAGATCTGCTCTTAATTAAAATTTATTTCATATTCTTCCTATATTCTCTATACCTACATCTGAACAAGTGACAAGTGGAACACTGTAGTAGGTTTCACGTCACATGCATTTAACAAATACAGTTTTCACTATGATTTACCCCACCGATTTCCTTAGACAGTGATAAAAACAACACTAATTTCAATAGTCAAACTTTAAACTCATATCTGCAAAAGTTCTTACATATAAATACTAGTAATGAAGATTGATTAATTTACATAAGATCATCACACTTTAAGATGGTGGGGTTTAATGTACAAAATTTAACTGACATTTAATTCTGACATTGACAGTGAAATATCACAAAATTCATTTTTTTCCAGGGTCCAAATTTACATCAACGAATTATGTAAGCTTGTTGTTGTTGTTATGTGCTGTTGAGTCAATTATGACTCATAGTAACAACAAGTTAAGCTTAGGGTAATATATTAATTATATTTTAAAGATCTTTGAAAAACAATTCTTAATTTAAGGCATTTCTTAGTAGCATACTTTATTAATACAACAATATACTTCGACCAGATTTATTAAGGAATAGATTTTGAATTAATATACCTTATTTTCAATTTTGGACCAACAAATGGGACAGGTTTCACTTTTGACTCATTTCGTAGTTTTCTCAAATTATCCTGATCTCCAAAACCATAAACTGCTGACTTCCAGGTACCATCATGAATGCATAATCCCTAATAAAATATTAACGGATAATTACCAAAATGTGAAACCAACTATCTTACAATGCATTATTACAAACAACACTTCATCTCTACTTAAGTACGGCATAACCCTTATTTAATAGTCTTGTACATGAATTTTCATGACTGGCTAGGCAGCAATAACACTCATTAGCTTGATCATACTCAATATTCATACCAACATAAGCCCTCTCTTCTTCACTCCTACCATTATCTAAGCGCTTTGAAACAAGCAATTTAATTTCACTTCATTGTTTTTACTCAACTAACTTGCCATATACCTTCATGACTAGCCTCTCTAATCCTATCCCTATCCTGTGCTGATTCCTCAAACTTTCAAGATAGTTTCACATGCGCATTTATGTATGCATACACAACATACTCTTCATCTATCCTTCTAACACTCCTTTTTCTAAAAAGTCCCAAGTTATATGCCTCATTTCCCACAAAAATCCTATTAAAATAATTTTAAAATATTTTCTTAAAGCTTATTAGTATGATTTAGATTTTCTTTCCTTATTCTCTCAATTTATTCTTGGTTCTGTATCCAGTATAGAACCCTTATTATTTGTTTGGTCTCACCCAGACTCTCATTTGTACACTTATTTTTCATCTCTTTTATGAGACTCTTTGCTGTCAATGCCTTCCATTCTTCCAATATAATTATACCTTCTGCAACCCTTACCTCAACTCCAATCAGAAATGAGTAGCAGAAAGGAGAGGACAGGTGAGGATATAATCTCTAAATTTACTGTGATAGTGCTAACTCTTATTCGCCTAACTTCTAGGTGGGGCTTTTAATTCTGTATTAGATAACTATTTTAAATTTAGTTTATAACTTGATTGCACATAATTGTATTATGTCCCCTCTTATATGTTGCTGACCTTGTTTAAATGAACAAAATCATTCAGATAGATTCAAAGCCAACTTTGTCACAAGATTCTGAAAGACGAATATCGGTAAGGCAGATGTAAAGATATCTTGGACTGATAATAAGCTGAATAAGACATACACTAAAACCTCAGAAGGTTCAGGTTTTTATATCTTAATTTTGATAACACAGAAAAACAGAGAGATACCAACCCAATTTCCATTGGGTTACAGATTTATTTCTTCTGTTTCTTAAGGGTTTGATTTGTCAAACTACTCTAAATCTGGGCTGAGGCAATTTGACCTATTTGCAAATGTAAAGATTTTCAAACACCAGGAGAAAACAGCTTTTAAAACAGAAATCTATGAATACTTTCCTGTATAAATAAGCCATCAAAAAGGCAAAAAATTACATTCAATTTTTTAAATCTTTTACCTAATTTCAATAAAAAAATGTAAAGAAAAGTGCCCAAAACATATATGTACAATTTAATGAAATTACAAAGCAACCATACATGTAACCACCATCCCCAGAACTGCAATCCAGCCAGCATCCCAGAAGGTCCTGGTTCTGCCTGACTGTATGGTAGTAATCACTTCCTTGCATGTCTTTAGCATTTTATCACCTAAGCATCCATCCCTAAACAGTAGTTAGTTTTGCCTGTTTCTAAACTTTACAGAAATGGAATCCCACTGTAGATATTCCTTTAAGTTTGGCCTCTTTTGCTCAAAACTATGTTCTTAGGATTCATCACGTGTTGCAGGTAACACCTACTGTGCAACTTGCTTTTTCATTCTCTTAATGGTGTCTTCTGATAAACAGACACTCTCAATTTTAAATGTATATGATTTATCATGTTTTTCCTTTATATTTAAAGCATTCTATGTCCCTTTTAAGAAGCTACTTCCAACCCTGAAGCCACGAAGTATTCTCCTATGTCATCTTCTAAAAGCTTTACTGTTTTGCCTTTCATATTTAGGTTTACAATCCACCTAAGCTTGACTTTTGTACACGGTACAAAGTATGAGTCCAATTTAATTTTTTCTCCATATGAATACCCAATTGTCCCAGCATCATCTACTAAAGTCCCTTTACCATAAACTAGTGCTGACATCTGCATGAACTGTTTCTGGGCTCTTTATTCTGTTCCACTGGCCTATTTATATCCCTCTGCCAGCCAACAATACACTGTTAATAACAAGTCTTTAAATCTGAGAGTCTTTCCACTTTATTCTCTTTCAAGAACATCTTGGCTATTCCTGACCCTTTCATTTCCATACACATTTCAGAACCAACTTGTCAAGTTTCACATCAAAACAAAATAAAATTGTTTGAGATTTTGATTGGAATTGTATGCAATTATAAATCAATTGGAGAAAAATTGATATCTTCTAATATTAACTCCAAAACTGACGTCCAAAAACTGAGTTCCAATCCATGAATATGGTATACTTCTTTATTTATTTGTCTTCTTTAAGGTTTCTCAACAAAGTTCTATTATACTTATTCTTAAGTACTTGATTTTTTATGATATTATAAATGGTCTACTTCTTAAAAATAATCATTTTCTAACTGTAGCTGGTATACAGAAATATAACTGATTTTTATATTAATTTTGTATCCAGCAATAATAAAGGTTAGAGTGGAAATAAGTGAAACGGAGAATATAAAAAGAATAAATAAAATCAGTTAAGCCAACAGTTAGTTCCTTGAAATGACTGACAAACCTTAAGGTAGAATGATGGGGGTGGGGTGGGAGGAGAAAGCTCAAATTACTAAAATTAGGAATGAAAGAGGAACATTACTACCAACCTTACAGAAACAAAAAGACTATAAGGGAATACTATGAACAACTGTATACCAACAAATTAGGTAACCTAGATGAAATGTACAAATTCCTAGAAAGACACAAACTACTGAAACTGACTCAAGACAAAACAATATGTAACAGTAAAGAGACTGAATTAGTAAGTTAAAAAAAACTTCCTACGAAGAAAAGCCCAAGCTCAGACAGCTTCATTGGTGAATTCTACCAAACATTTAAAGAAGAATTAACACAAATCCTTCACAAACTCTTCCCAAAAAAGTCGGTATTACCCTGAAACCAAAACCAGACAGACATCACTAGAAAACTGTAGATCAATATCTCTTATGAATATAAATGTAAAAGTGCTCAATAAAATACTAGCAAACTGAATCCTCCACCATATAAAAAGGATTATACACCATGACCAAGAGGGATTTATCCAGGAATACAAGGCTAGTTTAACATATGAAAATCAATCTATGTAAATGTGATGATTAATGTTATGTGTCAACTTGGCTAGGCTATAATTCTCAGTGGTTTGGCACACACTATGTATCACCTCCCATTCTGTGACGTGAAGTGAGTAGCCAATCAATTGGAAGAGGAGTGTCCTTGGGGATGTGGCTTGCATTCATGATATAAGCAAAAGTTCTGGCAAAGCTCTCTCTCTCAATCCTGCAATTCATCTCATCATCCTCTGACCTCTGGTTCTTGGGATGTGAGACGCCTTCAGCCTGCTGCCTCACCGGCAGATTTCTGCTTCGTCAGCCCCTGCAACCACATCAGTCAGGAGAAGCCTCCAGTCTTCCACCTGACCCACAGATTTGGAATTTGCCAGCCTCCACAACTGTGTGAGCCATTTCCTTGAAATAAATCTCTCTATATTGATATATATATATGCTTCACTGGTTTTGCTCCTCTAGAGAACCCAGCCTAAGATAGTAATATACCAAAAGAATAGAAAAAAGGCAAAAATCACACGATCAGGAGTTCTGGCAAATTGGCGCTCCAGGCAGAAGCACCACGCCGTCCCTCCACAGCAAAGATCCGAAAAACTAAGTCAAACAGAGAATACAACAATCCTGAAACCCTAAAACACCAAATGAAGAGATAAAGAACTCAGCCAAGCACCAAATGGAGTGAGAAAGCTGACAGAGAACGGAGAGCGAGGAGAGATTCATGCAGAGGTCCCCTACCAGCTAACGCAGCGCGGAGCCACCATCTTGGACTCCTATCGGAGACCAGCAAATGAGGGTACAAGAAAGCAGCCTCACGGAGTGTCCAGCGGGAGATAAAACAACTGGTAACGTGCGGTGTGAGCTTTTCCACCTCCCACCCCTCTTCGCCCCGGCTCGACCTCCTCTGCTTCCCGTGGCCACGGTCTCTTGACCGGGAAGCGCCGGCTGCTTGGATTCCACACACCCAAGCAGCGGCTCTCTGGGTGCCAGTTGTTGGCTGCTAGTGTTGCTTTTTCTTTTTGCTTCTTTTGATTTCTCACTTGCCTCTCGCCACCTCCCCCTCCTTTCACTCGAATGCCTGGCTCCGTGCATCACCTTTGCTTCTTCCTGAGGGGCTGCAGAGCGCCGGCAATTTGTGATGTACGCTTTCCCACTCTCTACCCTTCTTCACCCACACTCGGCCTCCTCTGCTTCCCGTGGACACAGTCTCTTGTCCAGAAACACCAGCCCGCACTAGCTGGCTCTCAGAGTGCCATCTGTTGGCTGCTGGTGTTGCTTTTTTTTTTTCTTCTGCTTCTTTTGATTTCTTCCTTGCCTCTCGCTGCCTCCCCCTCCTTTCGCTCAAGTGCCTGGCTCCATGCGACATCTCTGCTTCTTCCTGAGGGGCTGCGGAGCTCCATTTGAGTGTGGAGCTGCTTCCCGGTCTGGGCTACCACGCTGGTGCGATCCCAGGGCTTTTGTTCGTTTGTTCCTCTGCTACCCACGGCCACAGTGTCTTGACCAGGAAGTGCCGGCTGCTTGGATTCCACACACCCAAGCGGGCGGCTCTCTGGGTGCCAGTTGTTGGCTGCTAGTGTTGCTTATTTTTTCTGTTTCATTTGATTTCTCACTTGCCTCTCGCCACCTACCCCTCCTTTCATTCAAGTGCCTGGCTCCATGTGCCATCTTTGCTTCTTCCTGAGGGGCTCCAGAGTGCCGGCAATTTGTGATATACGCTTTCCCACTCTCTACCCTTCTCCACCCACACTCGGCCTCCTCTGCTTCCCGCGGACACAGTCTCTTGCCCAGAAACACCAGCCTGCACTAGCTGGCTCTCTGAGTGCCATTTATTGGCTGCTGGTGTTGCTTTTTTTT